AAAGGGCCAATTATAGATAGCTCACGGGTTGGCTCTTCCACTTTAGGGTTCATGCCTTTCAGCAAAAAGCAAATTAATAGAGCCCATATAACCTGCTCATGTGGAAGCATATATTAATACTATACAATTACTCCCTCAGATGGAAAAATACAAACTTAGGAAGATTTTTTTAATCTCAAAATTTGGAAACCACCTAAAAAGTATTATCTTCTGAAAAAAAAGTTTGAATATTGAGTTTTCTAGCACTTAGATCTCATTCTTAAAAAATTGGACGCTATTTGTTCAATCTTGGGACATTATTTTTTTCAAACCCATAGAAAATGCAATTTGGAATTATTTTTTAATGCACAAAAACAATGTGGCTTATATGAACAAAAACAATTTGGAATAATTTGTATATAGTTTGAAGAGTTTATATCCCCAAAATCTAGGGTTGTAAAAATACTTATAGATTAGGTTTTGCACAAAGGAGTAATAGATAGTATGCTCCCTCAGGAGCATACTTTTACAAAAATCTTTTGGCAAAAACAATGTCACTTACATGGGGCGGTGGTGTTCGTGACAAAAACTCGACTGAAATGAATCTCACTCACGAGACCTATGTTTTTTTTTATTTAGGTATGTTGATGTGGGGACCAGCTTAGTGTAGACTATAGAGAATATTCTTCTATAATCCACCCATGTCCACTATACTGTTCACACGTGGCAAGGAAAGCGAATCTGAAATGCTTGTATAGTGAGGTCTTGGTCAGCCCATGCGACTCGGATGAGCACCACAGAGTAATAGTACTATATTGGGTTATAGTATCATCAATTAAAAAAAAACGGAATTTTCTATTTGCACTTTGTAAGTGTCCGAAGAAAATATTAATTTTATTATAGTAGATGGAGATAGTATAATTTTTGGAAGGTCAGATCAAGTATTTAAAAACTCAAAATCTATTCTATTTAATGATTGTGATATATATCTAACAACACCAGTTCAAATAAAATGTCTTCAACTGGTCATCATCATCGTCGTCAAAGTTTTTTTTCAATTAATTGAAGTCAGTTACACGAATCATGCTTCATCATTTTGTTTTATTAAGGACCATATTTTCATTGAGACCATAATTCCCCATATTTTTTTCGGCTACTTTCAACTATATCTTTTTGGACCTATCCTTTGCTTTTTTTTAGCCGTCCACTTGAACTAACTCACTCATCCTTATAAGTGTTGTACTAGGTATGTACCAATGGTCGGCCCACTTAAGTCTGCTCTATCTTATTTTTATGCCTATTGATGCTGCACCTAAATTTTTCTGGATTTATTTATTTTGAATTGTATCCCCACTTGTCTTGTCACTCATCCATCTTAACATCTTCATCTCCACTATACTCCCACTGAGTTCATTTTACAAGTAACTATGGTATATTATTTTTTGACTTCCTAACATTTCACCCCATAGAGCAAAACTGGTCTCACAACAGTCCTATAGAACTTGCCCTTCAACTTCATTGGAATACAACGATCACATAAAAATTTTGTTGCACATTTCCACTTTGTCCATCCAGCTCTAATTCTATATGCGACATCTTCCTCAATCTCTCTATTTTTCTGGATTATCGATCCAAGTTATAGAAAGTGCGTTTTTTTTGGTATTTTCTGGTTGTCAATATTAATTACTGCATAGTCTTTACTCTTATTATTACTAAACTTGCATTTTATATACTCGGTCTCCGTCAGTATTTTATCTAAATACGTTGAATGTACAATATGCCCCCGCTGGAGCAGGTATACGTGTAGCAAATCGCTATGGGACATGATAGGTAGGTAGGATGTCACTATGGTTCAACCCCGACTTGACAAAAGGGTCTTAAATTGAGGTTGGGACTTGGGACAAAGAATTGTGCTTGATGAGAATTGGCACACAATTGTGGTATAGACTTCAAGCATAGGAATGAGAACCCAAATCATTAAGGCGGAGAATCTTTTTATCAAGAGAATTGCTGCTACCTGGGGTTTAGGATTCCTTTTAAGTGTAGAAATAAATAAATATTTAGAAAGAAAAAGTTGGAGATAATGTTTCTTCAGATAGAGAAAAAAAAAGGAAGAAAAAAAAGCAGCTACAGAATCCTTTTAGAGATCCTCAAGCCGGAGATAATAGTCTAAGAGGAAATTATAAGTTCTTTTTCCTTTTTTTAGTAATTTCTTAGTTAATTTTATTTTTCCTGTGGTTTTTCCTATCTTAAAATTTTCTATTCATGGCAGTGCCTCTTTTTTATTTTTTTGAGGAAGTATATAAAGAGACTAAATACTTTGGTACATGATGGTCACAATTAATCTTGGCCGTTAAATGTGAAATTGGATGGCTGCATTTATTTCATTAACCAAATTCAAAGTCTAAAAGAAATTTTCACAAACTTTGTGACACATCCAAAACATCAAATTTCACATCAGATGGTTGTAAGACTTTGAGTTCCAATTCATATCATAAGTAAAACCCTTCAACCCAATTTTCTCCTATCTAAAATGGTTTTCACATCGCTTTTCCATGTGAACTCATGCCCTCCGGTTCGCCCACATAAATTTCATCCAATTCTCTCTTCGAAACCTTAATTTTAGACACAAAGCTACTCTTTTCGAAACCTTAATTTTTGACTCAAAGCTACAACGACCAAGTATTACCCAAATAGAGCCCCCCAAATTAGAGTGCCCTTATGGGTTTTCACAACTTGCCGTGGATGGAACTGCGAAATTGATTTATGCCTTTCTTAGATTTTTTTTTTTGTTTTTTTTTTCTCTTTTACCTATGGCTTATATTCTAATTTTGCTTTTCTTTCTAATTTCTTTTTTTTTTTTCTTTTTTCCTTTGAACTAGCACCTCTTCGGGCTGTCATTATGCCCAGTTTTTCTTGTTCCCCCAACCAAATTTTTTTTTTCTCACTTTTTATCTCAAATTTAACTTTTCTAGCAAATATCCCTCCCCCCCCCCCCCAAAGTCATAAAAAAGGTAAAATGAAGAACAAAATATTATTTGAAAAGCATGCGGTCCAGCACAAAATGGGGACGATCCATAACAAAATAGAAGCGGTCTGGCACTTTGGGCATGTGGTCTAGTACAAAATGGGAGCTGTCTAGGACTTTGCTTCTGGAAAGCATGTGGTCCACCACAAAATCGGGGTGGTCCGGTACTTTTGGCTTCTAGAAAGCATGCGGTCCGACACAAAATAGGGGCGGTTCGTCACTTTGGGTATGCAATCCGACACAAAATGAGGGTGGTCCAGTGTATGTATTTTCACAATATTTGGGGCTTCTTGTATCCGTCTCCATAATATTTAATCACAGGAAAGTATATAATGAGACATTTACTTTTTGCACAAGGTGGTTACAATTAATCTTGACCATTAGATGTCAAATCGGGTGGCTACATTTATTTCATTGACTAAGCTCAAAGTTTAAAAGAAATTTTTTCGAACTTTGTGACACACCTAAGCTATCAAATTTTACATAGAATAGTTTTAATTAATTGTGACTTCCCTCCGCAAAAAGTAAAGGTGCAGTTTTTATAATTTTGTGGTAATTTTTTTTTAGGATTATCTTAAAAACTATTTTCATATCTAATTAAAAAAATTTTAAACTCCAAAAATGGTTAAAATCAAGTAGATCTATAAACATATGAAAATCTTGAAATAGACGGTCTAGATAATGTTTTGCTAGACGCACTATTTTTTAGATTCAAAAACTTTTTTTTAAAATATTCATATATATTGATGTCGAGATGATCAATTACAGGGTTTTTCAATATTAAAACAACCTTTCTGAGAGATTTTTGAGGCCCATATGTAATTCTACATTTTAAAGTTGCAACCTTATATAAACTTTCCTCAAAAGTAAATGGTCTCATTATATGCAATCCCTTTAATCATGCTATTGATTATGTGCTATACAGTAGATTAGAGTCCTAATTGACTCCGATAGTTTTTATTTGGGACCCTAATTTGGTAACCTGTCTGAGCAAACGGGAAAAAGCACCAGTTAGAGCTTGGGCAAATAGAGATTGAGAGCCGAGAGAGATCATGAGGTTCAAATAAAAAAGGATGAGGGGGTCTCATGTTTTCAGAAAAATCAGCAATGCACCCCTTGATGTGCATTGCAGTTTTCCCCAAACACGAGGAAATTGCACCCCTTGATCTGCATTGCAGTTTTCCCCAAACCCGAGGAAAAGCGTGGAAACACAGAGAAATCCGGGGCTCTGCTTTCGACGTAATTCCCCATTCTCACGTAGGGGAATATGTGGTAACTTAGAAAATAGATCATTTTCCATTATTTTTGCAGTTACTAAACATGGCCCAAGGGTTGGACCTTGCCAAGTCTCAGCTTAGTGAGAAACTTGGAGCTTACAATCGCCAGTAGCTCTTTCATTTCACCATTAATGTGGTAGTTACCATTGACATTATAGTTCAATGTTGCAGAGCACATTTGGGCCACCACCAGGGGCAAAATTCATGACAATTAGGTTAAGATTGGCTACTATTGTTTGAGAATTCCTAACTCGGGGCCATGTCCATCAGGCTTCTATCCTTCCACAAATGGGTTATTGATCCCTCCTCTAGCACAACTCTGATATGAACTGAGAGTAGGGGATGGCAGAAGTTGATTCCATGCTATGTCCTCAACACTTTGCTGAACCAAGACGTGAATTCACTACTTGAGCCCTTCCATCCACATTATTTTGGGATTACCACCTCTTTTATATGTGATCTTGCTCCACATTACAACCACCATTTCATTAGAAGAGCCCCCCCCTATGTCCTTATTTTTTGAATGCCATGCCCCTGCACACATTGACTTGCATATATCATCCCACTGGACAATGTGATATTTACTTCTCAAAACCATCACAAAGGAGTCTTCTCATGAGACCTTCTAAGTTCTTATGGAGACAGATGTCATAATAAATAGTTACACTGGTGGCTGTTATGAGGCCAATCCTTCCCTTATAAGAGAGGTATTTGGCCTTCTACCTATCTAGCTTTCTTAGGAATAGGCTCAAGGTTAGCTGGTATGTGAGGCCGCTACAACATGACGGATTGAGTTTAATTCTTACCCTGATAGGCGATCAAATCCCAATTAAACAAACCCCCCCTCCCAAATAAAAAAATCTAGTTTTCTCTGACTGCAGTTAATGCTTGGGCTTCACCCTGCCTTCCAAGGTTTTGTAAGCAGATGGAGGCCTAGATATCTCCATGACTAGGGCTATAAATGGGTTAGATCTGGTTCTGCTTGACCTAGACTCGGACCCGATCCAGCTGTGTCCAAGTCAGACCCAAATGGGTCCATTTCTAATTAATTATATATTTTGAGTTATATAAAATATTCTTAATAAATTTGTATTATATCATGACCCCAACCTGGATCTGACCTAATCCAATATGGTCTAAGATGGGTCTAGACTTGACACGGGCTGGGTCTAGGTCAAACAGACCCAGACACGACTTGCCTGGTCCACTAACTTGGTCCAAACCTAGACTCAGGTCAAGTCGGTGGGTTGACCTAACCCTTTTACCATCCCATCCATGACAGACCCTCCAGACTCGATCAATTTAATGGCTCCTTAGTTGTCAATCTAAACGTGCAACTCCAAAGCTCATTTTGTTAATATTAACAAAGAGACCAGAAGCCATTTCAAAGCACTTCCAGAATAGCCAAAGATTACTTGTTTGGGCCGCCCCAAAAGAACAATGTATCATTTACATAATGCAGACAATGAGATAGTTAGCCTGTTCTCTGAGATTTTAAAACTTATAACATTCCACAATGATCAACTCCTCTCCTTATTGACCAATTATATAGATAATAAGGGTGACTAGCGGTCTTCTTGCTTAATATTCTAGCTCTGATAAATCCTTCAAGGCTCCCATTATGACAATTGAGAAGTTAGTTGACCCATAATTTCCATAGATCCGCATAGACCACCTCGCCTCCAGCAGCACATTTGATGCCTGAGGTCCCATTTTTAGATTGAGAATGGATACACTTCTAAGCCACCAATGCACTACCAAGGATTTGCATGCCCTTCACGTAATCTATTTGAAGGGGTGACATCACCTCACAGAGGACCATTTGTAGTTTGGAGGCTAGAATCCTTCTAAGTATCTTCTTAAGGCTTTCAAATAGATTGATTGCTAAGATATCATCGAAGGTTTCTACCAAGTGGGGCAATCGGGAGTTTGGGACGGGTTAGGTTGGGTCAACCCCAACAACCCGACGGGTCGACCCGATCTGGGTCTGAGGTCCAGGTCTAAACCCTTGGAACCAAGTTGGACCCGAACCCAACTCAAACATATCTACACACGCGCGTACACACACACACACACATATATACATATATATATATATATATATAATATCAGTGTTCAAAAAATCGAATCGGCCTAGGGCTGGGTCCGAGTAATCGGTATATCGGCTGGCGGCCTAGGGTTGGGTCCGAGTAATCGGTATATCGGCTGGTTCAATCGGCCTAATCGGGCATGTCTCGGCCGGTCTAAAAAGTAGTAAAAAATAAAACAAATACAAAAAAATCCAAAAAACACATGAAAATCATATTTAAAGCATGATTAAATAAAGAACATCCAAATGAAGTTGAAAAATAGTGAATAAAAATGGATACTAAAAAATTGATTGCCCAAGGGTATTAACACTTTCCGATCTATGTCAAAATGATAAAAACATTCGAAAACACATTACAAACAAATCCCCTATTTAAAAAGAAAATGAGTTCATGGCTATGCTGACCATAGCCTTCTCATTAAAGTTCTTTAAAATTTAAATGTTAGCATTAGGTCGATCTTTATATCCTCCCATAAATCTCAAAAGAAAGTAATGAGGACACCATTAGGGCCAGAGCCGAGCAACCATGGCCCGAGGGTAGGGTCGGGCGATAGGCTTGGGCCAAACCCATCCCTGCCCAACCCCACACTCTTGTCTTCTTTTTCCCATTGTTTTATTTTCAATTATATTGGACCCAGCCCTACCCTGGTGGACTAGGGCCAGGGCCTTTTGGTCAAATTAGGGCCAAGATGGGCTTGGCCTGGTCCAACCCTATGGGGACCGCACAGGGGAGGCCCGGCCCCAATCCAGCATGTTGCCAATCCTATTTAAGACTAAATTATCTCCATCTCCCCTTGTTTAAATGACCTTTCTAGCCAAGTAACACATTCAAGTGGTGCTCCTCCTGAAGATCGAATATGAAATGTTTGATGATCGCCTCATCAATAGCTCTGAAGTCACCAAGGTCTATGTGAGGAACTTCATTATAATTTCTAATTTGGTTTTTTAATGAAAGCATGGCAGTTAGATTTTAACATTTTCATCTATATGCTGAACCTTTCATCTCAAATTCATGAAGGAAATTTTGTAACAATTCATGAAGCACAACACAAGAAATGAATTATTTTCTGAATACTATATGAAGGAAAATTGATTCATGCGGCTCGACTGCATTTCTACATATGGGGTCCAGAAAGCGTAAAGCATCTATGTTAAAGATGGATGCAAGTAGGTGTTCCATCTAAAAACAATAGAAACTAATGGTCGAAATGTTTTCTTACTAAAATTATTATTTTTAGTTTTTTAAAATTTATTTGTTTTTTCATATTCATGATATCCATGTTAGAGATTACATGTCCTTAAATATTAAGTCTTAAAACCATTCTCAAAAATAGATTTATTAAGAGGCCCGCATTTCTACATATGCGGGATTGGTCGCATGGAAACCGGGTCCCTATATAAATGCCTCAAGCAAATCTTTCATTTTGTAATACATCCTGTGCTTTTAAGTTTGTTTTGTTTGTCTTCTTACAGTTGGTCCAATACTACAGACACTGGACGGGCTCTAATGTATAAAATTTCTAGAAATCCTTGTGTGTTGCTTCAAGTATGTTCATATGATGAGGGTTGAGGAAACACACTGAACTATCGCATTTGTTGAGGCATATTAATGTTGTAAGTCCCTAGTAGAAAAATTTTCCTTTGGAGTTCAACACAAACTACAAAATCATATTTACAAGCCCCTACTAATAGAAAATACCATTAAGAAGTTGCTAATATTGTGAATGAGTCAAATCAGTGTAATCTGGAAGGGGCATCGAATTGGAAAAGTGTTAGATTTGGTTTAGTTCGCAGTTCGACCGGACATTGAACTGAACGTGACTCATGTAAACCGGGCTAACGATTTCTCAAGTTATATGCTTTTTCAAGATCTGGTTTTGTAGAGGCTGAATTGGTTTGGAGTCGGTTGGGGGTCTGAAAGGCCAAACTAGCCAGTCTGTTTCTGATAAGAATGAATCAATTTGGGCAGAGAGCTTATCCTTACATCCATTGTATAATTACAATAAAGCATGCAATGTTTAATTCAAGTCTATCTCCTCTCAGGTGGTGGCCGAAAGTTTCGGTGAACGCACCAAATTTAGAAAGAAAAAGACCCAAAGATGGGGAGAGCTATTACCATTGCGATGATGAAAATAGATATCGAGCTGTAAAGGAGCGCGCATTTGAAATTCAAAATGAATGGACCATGCCACAAGGCAAGAACCAAGGAGAGTAGATGAACAATACAGCTATATAAGCTTTTCACATCCCTTTCTCTTCTTAAAAATTGGAGTCCGTAGTTGCTTCAAAGGTCATCCTCACCCTCTTAGGTTGCTACGAGAAAATATGAAGCGTTCATCGAAAGTTGACAGGATTAGCTATCTACCCATCCACATCCTCTCCTGTATTCTCTCTTACTTGCCCGTCGAAGAAGCATGCGGAACCTCTATACTTTCTCATCAATGGAAGCAAATTTGGTCTTCTATGCCAGTGCTGGATTTGGAAATCGATACATTCTCTGAGGGCGTGAGTGATGAAGCTCCTTCACATAGGTCAGAATGGGGTCTGGTGCATGACAAAGACGGCCCCATTCTCCGGTTTCAGTTGCTGGAATCAATGATATGCTGCCTCCTCGACCTGGAACAATGGATCGGTATCCTGGAAAACATGGGTACCCTGGAACCCGATTGCATTCTTTGTTGTGTCACTCCATATGAATTACCAGCTTCCCTGTTTTCATTGACCTCCCTAGTTTCATTGGAGCTCTGGCGTTGTGAAGTGGAGCCCCCACCTGCATTTCAGGGGTTTTCATTTCTAAAGTTCCTCTCTCTTGAATGTGTTACTGTCAGCAATGAAATGCTTGAATCCTTGGTGTCTAACAGTAAGGTTTTAGAGAGCTTGAGGGTGGTAAACTGCTATGACCTCAAGATAATCAAATTTGATGCTCCCAGCCTTCTTTCTCTCTATCTCCAAGGTGAATTTCATGATTTGGATGTGAGTGTTAATTCCAACCTGAATAATCTTGCCATTTATTGGTTAAGCCATGGAGTACCTAGCATTCGCCTACAAGGTTTGGTCAAGTTGGAATCTTTGTGCTTCAATGGTTGGATCCCCGATGTAAGTGTTTTAATTTTGCTTGATGATTCGTCTTTTGTTCTTTGCATGTAGTGTTTATGTTTTGTCTTGAATTTGAGTTGGATGAATTTGATCTTTCTAAATTTTGTTCTTACATAGAAGTTTTAACTTGGGATTTCTACATAATGTTAAACTTCATACTGAAATCTAGAATCAAGTTTTCTGGATTTACATGTAAATTGTGGGGAATCGAATGACAGAGGGATGACCATGTTGGCCTAGTTTTGTTTCATTAAACAATGAGGGCCACTAGTCTTTTACAAAGTCAAGAGGCAAAAATTGAGTTAGAAAGTATTTGTTTCCATTTATGTTATTGAGTTCCCTAGTCATAGCTTTTAGTGTTCCATGGAGCAATCTTAATGGCAATTATTTTTATCAGGATATTATTGATGTGGAGTTTTATTAGGATTTGATTAGGAATTTATTAAATAATTGCTGGGACTTTAATAAATTAAATTAATATATTTATATTAAAATTTGTTAGGATTATCAATGTTGAATCTAATTATGCACATTTTGAAACATAAATACATTAAAAATTATATAAATATTGGAGTTGACAATGATTTCAAATCATTATCATCCAAGTCCTATCCCAATTATTTAGGGTCGGAGTGGACAATGATTTCTAATGTATAACAAAATTAAAATATAAAAAATCAGTTACCATCTTTCTAGCTTGAACTTACATATCCATCCATCATCACTTTTTCTCAAATCATTTCTCATTTGCTTGACTGATTAAGGAGTTGTTTCTAGAGAAGTGACATATATCTTTTCAAACTGAAAATTGCTAATTTTCCTTTCAGACTATATAGATGTTTGTCTGTATTGGCAGGATATTTAATAGTGAAAATAATGGGAATCATGAAATTATCACACTGATTTCATTGTACTCGGGGATATCATCAGAGTTCCATCGGCATTAGAACTCATCGTTATGGACTAGAGATAAGGTGAATTTATGGTAGATGATCCTCACTGAAGAAGGAATTACTATTCTTTTCATGTAAAAGTCACTTGTGATTGCCTTTGATTGTTCAATCTATAGCTTTTCTTTGTTCCCTTTTGGAGCTTGTTATTACCCTGCAAACTGATATTTCTAATTATGAAAACTTGAAGGTTGTCATGGCTGAAGATGATGAAAGTCGAATTCATAGTTGTTTCTCGAAGAGCATTAGTTCTTACTTCAAGCCTAAGCCTTGGTTATGCTGCCTTAAAAGACTGGAGATGAAGGCAAGGTTTATTGAGGAAATACAAGTAGCAGAATTCTTTCTGTTGAATTCACCTGCACTGCAAGTGTTATCTCTCCACATTAAACTTCCAAAGAAAGAGGAGACAAAATCAAAGTTAATGGAGCGCTGGGCTCTCATTCCTAAAGCTTCTCCAGAAGCCACATTTATATTGACTTAGATTCAAAGTTTGTGTAGGGGGGATCCTTTTTTGTTCTGGGTTGGTCAGCAATAAGAATCAAACTTGAAATGATTTTGTATTTGCTACTTTCATTATTTGTCTGGTTTGTTTTCCCTTTTTTTTTAATATTAAATGGATGCTATTTTCATTATTTGGTTGGTTTTTTCTTCTTCTTTTTCCCCCTTTTCTTATCTTAAATAAATGCTATATAATTGGGACCCTTTTTTCTCTTTTCCATAGGTGTCAATGCTTGCTACTTTGGAGGAATAATTCTTTGATGCTACAAATTACATTGACAATTGGAAGTTTTGCAGGTTTTTGAAGTTTAATATTGTCATATTACCCACCCAAAATAATAAGGTTCATGGGCACAATGAGCACTGTGCATCAAATGTTAACAATGGATGTCATATACCAGCACTCGTTGTTGACATTTGACGGCAACACATCCAAAAAAGAAAAAAACCACCAAAACATATTCATGTCCTGCGGGGAGTAGAATGTCCATTTACTCCCTCAAGTAAAACCCACCTAGAATTACTTTTAGGAACCAAAATTTTGGGGATGTAACCTCTTTAAGCCATGGATTAATTTTATAAAAAAAAGATTTCCTAATTGTGCCATATATGCGTTTTGACAAAATAATGTTGGGAAAGGGGTTGGATCGTGGTGATAACACCCTACACCCAAGTTAGCGGGTTGTGGTTTCCATTCTCATCACTAACACCACCCTACTAGGTAAAAAGCTGGCTCTTAATCCTGCTTCAAAAATGGGCAGGAGTCTGTCTTTTCCACTGAATTACCGAAAAAAAAGAAAGAAAAAAAAGACAAAATAATGCCTTACGGTTTTTTAATTGACCATCCAATTTTTAAATAGTGAGATCTAAGTGTTAGAAGATTTCAATTTTGATTGTTTTTTTAGAATAATCATCTAGAAAGAAACGATGTTCCCAAGCGAGTACATGATAGATAATAGGGAGGAGATACGATAGATAATAGGAAGGAGATACGTTGGGTTTGAAATTTACCGACCCTATTTTTTAGAGAACCTCAATGCATAATAGTATGGTGAAACAATGACGAATTTGCTTAATGCTATTGAGCTGAAAGTTTTTTTAGTGTCATGACGCTTGTTAGGGCTGAGAATTTTTCGGATGTGTCTGGATCCGAATCCGAATAGTATATACAATATTTAGATTCAGATTTGGATCCAGATCTTAAAACTATATATCATCCTGATCAAGATCAATACTCACTAATATCTTTTGCTTTTTGTTCTAACTTTTTCTCTCAAGCTTCATTCGTGTTCTTTTCTCCCTTGTCTTTTACCAAACTCCCTCGTCGTTCACCCAAAAGATCAGGAACGAAGTTTAAATAGTGGATGAATAGTCATGTTTTCACTTAAAACCCTACCTGAGATTTAAGACAACATAGCCATTATTCAAACTAATCAGGTTTACATATTAGTATAATGCTATATGAGAGAGATGAAGAAAAAGTTCACATTGCAATGTAGAATTACAGATGCACTTCAAAAATCTATTGGAAAAGGTTGTTTTAATTTTGAAAAACCCTCTAATTGATCATCTCGACGAGATGTATGAATATGAAAAAAAAAAAAGATTTTGAGTCCCAAAAATAGTGCATCTTGCAACATATTATCTAAACGGTCCATTTTCAAGATTTTCATATGTTTATAGATCTACTTCATTTTAATCATTTTTGAAGTTTACAATTTTATAATTAGATATGAAAATAGATTTTGAGATAATTCAAAGAATTTTTTATGCCAAAATTATATGTTATAAAATTTGGAGGTATGTCTTAATTGAATTGTTTAAGGTTGCAGCCTTATAGAAATCACACACCCAATAAATAAAAAGACACACACACACACACACACATATATATATATATATATATATATATATATAGAAA